CCCCCCCCCCCCCCCCCCCCCCCCCGCTGCACGCCCGGTGTATCATCGATTTCCGCGCGGACTTGCAAGACGTCCAACCAGAAAGAGAAAATCCACCTTGGGGATGACGGGGACCGCTCACTGCCGCCATCCGGCATTGGCAGCAGCAGCGGCGGCGCCAGCAGCAGCATCTGCGACTGCGAGTGCCACAACAAGGGCTCCAGCCGTAAGCGACGGAGCAACAACAGCCACGCGGAGCAGACGCCGAAATCGAACGGAGGGAACAGCGGCGGCGGCGGGAGTGGAAGGGCCGGCAGCAACAGCAACAACAGTAGCACCAGCAATACCAACGGCAGGCGGCCGAGGCGATGCTGCAGCTGCCCGGCCGCCATCGCCCGCACCGCCGCCGCGACGGCTCTAGGGCGGCGGTCCACCGGCGGCAGTGGCGGGATCAAGAGCGCCGCTCTTGCCGGCACCCCCAGGAGGGGCAGACACGATCGCCGCCTCGAGCCGAACAGCAACAGCGGCAACAAGAGGCGCTCGAAGCGGGAAGGGTCGAGCTCCAGCGACAAGGGGTCGACGGTGTATTCCTCCTCCGCGTCGGGGGGGGCAGGGGGGGCGGCCGCCAGGCACAGCTCGGCGGGGGCGGGCGGGGCCAAGGCGGCCGCGGCAAAGGCGGCGGCCGAAGGCGCTACCGTAGAGTCGCCGGTGGCGCTGCGGCGCATGTGCCTGCTTCCCGGGATTGTGCTGAGGTCGGGCTTGGTTTTCCAGAGGGTGACGGCGTTGTCGATGCCCGGGCAGGGGATCGGAGACGGCGACGTCCCGGCTTCGGTGGTGAGGATGGCCGGAGTGCTGAGGAAGGTGGACCTGAGCGGCAACCGGCTGACCGCCGTGCCGCCTGGGTTGTTGGGGCTAGGAGCCGGGCTGGAGGAACTCAACCTCGGCAACAACGACATCGCGGAGATGCCGCCAGAGATCGCCAATCTCGGCGGGCTTCTCTTCTTTAACATGGCCGGGAACCGCCTGACCAGGCTCCCTGCGGAGATTGGGCGTCTGTCGACGCTGAAGCGTCTGGGCCTTAAGGGCAACGCCCTCGTGCGCCTCCCCTCCTCCATCGGCGACCTCACGCACCTTGTGGAGCTCTACTTGACGGGCAACATCCTTGAGGCCCTGCCGGACGAGATCGTCAAGCTGCGCCGGCTCAAGAAACTCCAGCTGTCGTTCAACAACCTCCGCTCCTTGCCGCAGGGGATGGAGGCCATGCGCAGCCTGGAGCTCTGCCGGCTCGCCGTTAACCCAGGGCTGGCGGTGGTGCCGGAGGGGCTGACCTACGCCGAGAAGTTGGCGTGGGTTTCATTGGCGGGGTCTGCCTGGTGTGCCCGGGCCTCGGAGAAACGCCACAGGTGTGAATGCCTCATGACCCAGGTACATACCACGAGCTTGCCCATGTCGGTAGGCTTGGACACCTACCTGTTCCTCGTCAGTAGGCTCGGACTCTTTTGGAAGAATGCCTCTCTGTTAACATCGCAGGGCTTCGTTGTCGCACGGCAAGTCAGCTGTTGTTTTGTTTTTGTTTTTCAACTATGCTGAACTCAGCTGTGTTTGTTGTTTCAAGCATGCTTAATTGAATGAGAGGCTTGGCGTGCCCCATTGGAGACGATAGTGCTTCGTTCGAAGGGTTGTGTTGAAGTCTTTTACAGTGACAGCAGTAGAGAGGGGAACCTGATGTAGTACTGGACTCAATTCATGTCTTGTCTACTGAGATGGTCTTATTGGATGCCGGATGAAGAGAATGAATGAGAGGCGGCGCGTCGCGCGCTACCCCAGACACGATGGCCGTACCGTGATGTTTTTTGGGTTGTACGTCAAGTCCGTCGTTCTCGAGGAGGTACGCGCCACAGAAGCGCTGACTACAGCCGCCTGCTGAAGGCAGATCGAAGATTTCCTTGACGCCCTGTTTACCGAATGCCGTGGCTCAGCGACGCAGCCGGCATAACACTGACACGTGGCGGTCATGTTTACCCAGACGGCTGGCTTGCCGTTGTCCCTATACATGTCTCGGTTCATCTCTTTCTGGGTGGAGAATTCACTGAGCTTTCCCGTCATGTCAGCGAGAAGGGCGGTTTTCCCGTGCACTGTCTTCCTCTCTCAAAAGCGCCGTGCTGTGGGTTTCAGTATTTTCTCCCTTTTGAGGTGCAGTACCATGTCTCTTTGCTGAGAGTCGTCCTGGAGACGCCCATTCTTATTCGAAGCAGCGTCTTGACCACCACCACAGAATCTACGTAGAATCTATCTATATGTCCCGGTGGAGTGGTGCCTCTTGATCGAAGTCTATGTATCCCGGTTGAGTATTAAAACCCGGCGCGAGGCGTTATGGCCCTTCCCTCCCCTGGCGGTTGTGGGTTTCCGGTGTGATATCAACGAGAGATTTCGTGTTTAATCCAAATGGCTAGAGGCAGGGTGTGTTCCCCGGAGCCCGCCACAGTGCGGCGGTTCCCGAACATACGACTCATTCTAGTGGTTTTGCTTGTACAGCAATGGGGCAGTGTTGCGCTTGCCGTCGTGTTATGGTCGCTCCCCCCTCCTCTGTAATCTGGAATTGCAAAGTGGCGACAGCTTGATGGATGACACGACGCCGCCAGATCAGAAAACGTCTCTGTGGTGAACAGGGGGGGAACCCGCCTTACCGCACGTACGTACACAAGGCTGGGAATGAGTTGTGGCCAGTCTTGGAACGCGGCAACTCATCCACAATCATGATCGACTTCCCTTCCCCTGCTCCCTTGCGCGATCTGTGCCTGGTCCCCAAAACAACGCAAAAAGAACTTCATTCCCCGATATTCCGCGTGAAGAAGTGGTTCTTGGAGAGCGGCTTGGGAGCGGTGCGTCAGGGGAGGTGTTCGCTGGAGTTTACAGAGGGAGGGACGTTGCAGTAAAGGTGAGGAGCAACGGGACTCTTTTCTGTTTGGGGTGGGGTAACCGATGTCTCAATGTGGGTGGGTGGCAGTGTACCGGCCGTTTCTCGCGCACTTCGGGCTTCACGAGCACACTGCCACGATACGTATGCCGACGAACGGCCGACTGTTGTCCACAATTGAGAGCACGCGCCCTTCCACCCACCTTACCAGAGGCTAGGACCAACTGTGTTGCTTCTCGAAGCAAACCTGGTTTTACAAAGCATAGACCTCTCCCAAGGGCTGAAGCCAGTTGTTGAGAATGTTGGCCAGGCAATAAATAACATCTCGCCGGTACTTCCATTCATTTCTTTTTTACAGGTTTTCAAGGCAGATATCGGTCCTGACGGCAATGCTCGTGACGAGCTGGACGTGGCCCTGACTGTCGACCACCCTAACCTCACAAAGTCGCTGGGGGTAGTCCACGCCTCCAGCATCAAGCCGTCGGGTGGCAGCATCAGCAGATCAGAATCGGAGGTTGCCGCCGCCGCCGGTGGAGTTCCCGAAGGTGCAGGTGGCGGCGGGGGCGTGGGCGGGGGTGACGAGATTGAGAATCTGCGGTGGCTGGTCATGGAGAGGGTGGTGGGGAGGCCGCTGGCGGAGAAGCCGGACTTCAGCAGCGTGCTTCGGTGTCGGTGGGGATCCGGCAGAAGGTTCGAGCCCGTCTTGGTGCTGGCGGTGCTTCTGCAGGTGTGTTTTTGTTCTGTGCATCGGCCGCGTTAACCGGCGAACCACAGTGTGCGTGATTTTTGTTCTTGTTAGCATTGACCGCGCTAACCGGCGGCCCAATGGAAGGACGTCAGTCCCGGTGCGGTTGAAAGCCCAAAATGCTGCTGAAGGCTACCATGGTCTGGGACCCCGTGGGTGGGGCGCGTGTGTTGCTTGTTATTATTTGCGCCGACCGCGCTCCCAGGCTGACCAATGTGTTTCCGACGATTCATCGCAACGATGCGCCATTGCCCTTCGCTCGTCTTGTTTTTTTGGGGGGGAGGGGTACATGCCGTCAGTGGTGTTGCTGTGCTGTATCCTCTATTATTGCGGAGAAGGAGGTGGTGCAATGCAGGTGCGTGATCGACGCGCTTCGTACCGTCTTTGGTGCTGTCGGTTGATTTAGGCCCTTTTACCGCTTGCTCACAAGTGCGGGGTGCGTGGACAGCATCAAACGTTTTCACGCCCCGAACGGTCCGCTCCACATCATTCGCGTCGGTCTCTCTGTCCCTCTGTCGCTTTGTGTCTCTCTGTCTCCCTCCCTCCTTCCCTCCCCCCCCCCNGCTCCGTCCCGGCTTTGTAGGGATGCGAGGTCAATGGTCTAACGACTACGGCATGCACGACTATGAGTACCCCCCCCCCCCCCCCCCCCCCTCTCTCTCTCTCTCTCTCTCTCCGGTCTGTGTACTACACTACATGTGTGTGTGGGACATGAAAACGAAAACAGGTGGCGAGGGCCATGTCCTACCTCCACGAGAAGGCCATCTGCCACGGCGATCTCTACGCCCACAATGTCCTAGTGGACGGAGAGACCGGCGCGGCCGTCCTTTGCGACTTCGGCGCCAGCTTCTTCTACCCCACCGACAGGCAGCACGACTGCTCCATGCTGGAAGGGACCGAGGTCCGCGCCTTCGGGCTTATGTCGAGGGACATGGCGTGCCGTAGCGCAGGGTGCGAGTGGATTCTTCAGGTACACTGTATGCACAGGGGGGCGGTCTGAATACGGCGGTCGCCCTACATGCGCGGATGCAATTGGCTGGCATTGTTGTTGTGCTACTCAGGCTGTTGTGCTACTCAGGTTGACTCAGGTGGCTGCCCCATATCAGGCGGCCACGATCAGCTTCCCCGACCACCGCCTTGTTCGGGGACCCCCACTGCATGTGTGATTGCTACGTAGTTCACGTGAGGGAGAGAAGAAAGGTCAGGCTTACCTTTTCACTCCTTCTTGTGGGTCTGTCATATCTTGCGGTTGCTACATATTTCGCGTGAGGGGAGAGGGTTTCGGTTGATCGTGTTTTCGTTTTCGTCCGTATGGATAGTAGTGTGAAAAGAGGGAATCGTCCTCGACAGACTTTGGGGAGATAATAACCGTTTGTGAAGGGGATAGGCGAGGCAGCACCGAGGGGGGGGGGGGCAAGGAAGCATTAGAAGACACTCCTGTCATGCGACTTGGCGAAAAACACATCAGCTTGGGATCGGTTCGTAGGAAGGCTAGAGAACCTTTTCTTTTTCCGCTGGAGCTCGACAACTCTCAGCGAGCTTCGCCCGCGTCCAGCTCCAAGTACCTTTCTGCCGAGGAGCTTAACCCGTGCTTGGCTTCGGTGATCCCCTCATCGCCGCGTCTGCCCCCGCCCGCCCTTTCTGCTGATAATTTCTGCGTGGCTCCCTCCTTCAGGACTTGGTCCCGTCCTGCCTTCAGTCGGACGCCAGCCACCGCCCGTCTTTCCACGAGGTACGATGAGACACAATGTTTGCGTTAATACATGTTTGGCATAGAAGATAAGACGTGTGATGAGACAAAATGTTGGCGATAATAAATACGTTTGGGATACAACGCATGATACACAAAATGTTGGCGATAGGACAACACGTTTGGGATATACGGAGGCACCCGATTTTCCTCAACCCTCACCGCATAGATTTTGGACACATTCCTTCTTTCGAGTGGGACGTTGTCTGGAACAGGACACGTGAACTTGTTTGATGCCATTTGTATTTAATGGTATTAACGCAAGGTTCCTTGTTTTGTGGCTGCTGCGGGTTTGGCCGGGAGACCGGTCGGCAGTGTTGTCTTCATTGCACCGCTGTGAGTAGAAGTCCTTTGCCTCGCGACCCGTGATGGTGGTCGGGCGGGTGGCTCGCTACCTCCCGCTTCCCACGGGTACTTGGAATCCTTTTCGTTGTCGTAGGACGGGCAAACGTCGTTCGGTACCCTCCGCCCGGTGTACCCTCTGGGATGTGGCCGCCTGGTCGTCCCACTTACCAAACACCTCTCTCGGCTAGTCCACCCGCGTTGGTTGCTGTATTGCCGCCTTTCCGGTCCAATCTTGCACCCTGACCCAAGTTGAATGATGCGAAGGCCCACAGCAGCGGGGAAACTTGACAAAGCGATAGCACCCCCCCCCTCCGTGGTACAAGGAGAGGGAAGTGTACGTGACTGAGCTGGGAAAACAGATGGGACGTACAGGGAGATGTTTGAGGCATGGAATAGAGAGGACAGGACGGTAGCTGTACCGGGGCATAGGAGGTGCGTTGAAAAGGCGGGAAGGGATATCGGTAGGATAGACAGACTAGGGAAGACATTTTTGAGCCACCTTTGGCAAAGTAGAAAGGAACGATTGGCCATCGGTGATCGGTCCTGTGGGGACAATGCTCCGTCCTGTCGAGGACGCGTGGTCAATGGTCTAACCGCTAAGGCATGCAAAACAT